TCTCACATTTTCCAGCCAGATAATGTGAACATCCATAGGCTGCTGTGTACTGGCTTTTATTAAAGCTGTTGACGTTACAACTGCGCGTTTTTGTATACCAACAACTTAGGTCATATATACAAATACATCTGTCAACTTTGCAATCACTTTGAGCAACTTCGCATAGTGTGTTAATAGCTTAAAACCTACTACGAGCCGACAGCATCAACAACGTATTCGTAAAAATTAGAGGGAATTTGAAAGCTTTCCATTATTTTTAAAAGTTACTGAAAATCTACGATTCTCTACTATTATAATAAATGATTTACATCACAGTAAGAAAGAATAGAAGAACGTTGCCTTATACGTTTCCATGTGTGTGATGAAACAAAAAGTAAAATATCCAACGGGTTGTTCACTCAGGGAGTCTCCCATGCAAGTACTAACCATGCCCGATTGTGCTTTACTTTAGATATTGGTCGACCATCTAACAACAAGTTGCATTGGCGACTATTTCACGTTTTGTAATGTTTTAAAATTGACATCACTTGTACAAGTACCTTCTAGAATTGACCTGTGACCTTTACAAACTTCGAGTAACACTGCGCTAATTCCACAGCAATTTACGAAATATTTATCCACATTTTCGAACTTTTAACTGTGGGACTTGTTTTTATGACATTACAGGTAACAATCCTTAATGAATCTACCAACTTTGCAATCGATTTTCACAACTTTGTAAGCAGTTTGTCGTCGATTTCTCGGTTGGCTATTGTAATAATCTGCATATACGTGAGATATTTTCGAGACATTTACTTAATGATTTCGAAATTTAACTGTGGGGTTGTCATGACAAAGACTTAGGTTAAATATAGAAGCAACTCCGCCAAGATTTCAATCGTTTTTCCAATTTTGAACACTGTTTTTGCACATTTTACATTCAGATAATCAGAACATATATAGGCTACTGTCTACTGACTTTTATTAAAGTTGTCGACATTACAACTGCGCGATTCTGTATACCAATAACTTAGGTGATATATACAAATACATCTGCCAACTTTGCAATCACTTTGCACAACTTTGCAATGACTTTGAGCAACTTTGCATGGTGTGTTAGTAGTTTAAAACATACTACAAGCCGACAGCATCAACAATGTATTCGTAAAAATTAGAGGGAATTTGAAAACTTTCCATTAATTTTAAAAGTTACTGAAAATCTACGATTCTCTACTATTATAATAAATGATTGACATCACAGTAAGAAAGAATAGAAGAACGTTGCCTTATACGTTTCCATGTGTGTGATGAAACAAAAAGTAAAATATCCAACGGGTTGTTCACTCATGGAGTCTCCCATGCGAGTACTAACCACGCCCGATTGTGCTTTACTTTCGAAATTGGTCGACCATCTAACTACACAGCAGCATTAGTTATTTGAAATTTATTCGAATTGGTGACTATTTCATGTTTTTGAATGTTTTAAAATTGACATCGCTTGCACAAGTACCTTCTAGAATTGACCTATGACCTCTACAAGCTTCGAGTAACACTGCGCTTGTTTAACGGCAATTTAAAAAATGTCTATTCATATTTTCGAACTTTTAACTGTAGGACTTGTTAGTATGACATCACAGGTAACAATCCTGAATGAATCTACTTACTTTGAAATCGCTTTTCTCAACTTTGTAAGCATTTTGTTGTTGATTTCTCGTTTCGCTATTGTGATAATCGCATATACGTGAGGCATTTTAGAGACATTTACTTAATGTTTTCGAAATTTAACTGCGGGGTTGTCATGACAATGACTTATGTTAAATATACAAGCAACGCCGCCAAGATTTTAATCGTTTTTCCAACTTTGCACACTGTTTTCGCACATTTTACAGTCAGATAATGTGAACATATATAGGCTGCTGTCTACTGGCTTTTATTAAAGTTGTCGACATTACAACTGCGCGTTTCTGTATATCAACAGTTTAGGTCATATATAATACAAATACATGTACCAACTTTGCACAATTTTGCTTTCACTTTAAACAACTTTGCACGGTGTTTTAGCAGTTTAAATCCTACTGCGAGCCGATAGCATCAACCTATTCTTGAAAATTAGAAGGAATTTGAAAAGTTTCATTAATTTAAAAATATACAATTCCACGATACTCCACTGTAAATGATTGACATCACAGTAAGAAAGAATGCAGGAACGTTGCTTTATATTTTTACCATGTGTGTGATGAAAGAAAAGGAATAAATTCCAACAGCTTGTTTACTCAGAATGTCTCCCATGCAAGTACTAACCATGCGCGAATGTGCTTTACTAATCATTTTATTTTGTAGTGAATGATTTGCAGGTGGGAGATTTTCATTTTTAAATATATGTTATTGTTCAGCTATATCCAATGTCACGGTTAGACACGTCTGTCATTTTTCGATTTTCATATATTACATTACGTTTCTCAAAACATACATTTGATACCAACCAGCAGTCATTGTGTAATTTTTCATTACGTTAAACACTTGACGCACAGGGGCCGGGTACACATCCAGGCTGCAATATGAACTCGGGACTGTTTTTATATTTAATTCCCACAGCTTCAAATCTGGTATAAAAAGGAATGAAATTAAAAGCAGGTGGTTAACATGTTTCAATGGAAATCGTTACATATTGGACACGTTTTTGCCCTGGACGCATCAATACACTTACATACGCGCATTGGCCCTATCTATGCAAGGTCCAAATGGTCCACGGTCGATCGGGTCATTCGTGGAAGCAAAGATGACATTGGATGCAGTTAACAGAAAATAATAAAATAATTTAAACAGGATAGAATGCATGTGTATATTTTACGATAAAACTATTATATTTTGTTAGATTCATTTTTACGTGTCAGTTAACTTTAATGTATTTTTTATTACTATACACATCTTTTTCAATACGATGCGTTCACAAAATAAACATTAGTGGTGTCCTGTGTAGTACGTATATATTGCATATGAATCGTGCAATGTTTTGATAGTGTGTGACATATGATTTGACCCTACCTGATATAATGCCCAAACGGTTCACGGTCGTGACATCGATAACGTATCTTCGTTGAAGCAAAGACGATATTGAATTTTAACATGGACCTATCTATAGCTTGCGTTCTTGTTACACCAGCTACACTGTATTTCGTGTCTGTATGTCATTATAGTTATTTTACATGTAAAATACATTAGTTGTGGTAGCTGTGTAGATGCCATGTTCCATTTACGAATAGATCATGCAGTAACGCGGCGACTATGTCCAAGCGAAAGAAAATCGTTTTCCGAGTGAATTTGTTGACTGGGACGATGACGATTATGAAAGGGAAGCTATTCTAGGGGACGATTTTTATGAGGACTCGGAGAAGGTCGACAATGAGAGTTTCCTGCACCTAAAAGAAGCGCTGACAATTCAAACTTACCAGACAGCGTTGTGTCTCAGATCGACCTTTGAGTTCATCCCATGTTACCTTCTAATAGTCTAATACATTATCTAACAAGAAAATCGTCGGTTGTTTTCACATCAGCGTCAAAAAGCATGTTACATGTCAAGTTGCCGATTATTAATTATGAAACACATAAAAAAACTGTCATATTAGCTTACGGTTTTGGCCCGGGGTCTTGGCCATTATTGTTGCCCTGGTGATGATAAATATTTTACGAACCGCCCTGTATCACTCACATCGTTGGCGGTGTGACAAGAGTTTTTAGAATACAAGCCAGAAAAAAGATCATCAATCACCGGCCAACGTTACTTTTTACAAACTTACATTATGTATGTTACCATAAATTACCATAATGTTTTTTTATTTTGTTAGATTTATTTTCACGCGTCACCGATGGAAACTCTGCATTGGCTGATGACAGAACTGGAAATGGAATAGCAGAAAACAATCTTCACATAGTGTAAAAACGAATACAGAAAATTCATCGTGGAAACAATCGATTAGTACAAACCTAAGGGGGCAAATATTTTGTACAGTTTCTGATGACACACCCTCTATAAGATAATAATCGTGGCCGTCTTCCGTGTGTTGCATATGAATTGTGCAATTTCTCGATCGCATGAGACATGCGCATTAACCCCACCTAATATAAAGTGCAAATGTTTCACGGTTGGGTCATTGATAACGTGTCGTCGTAGAAGCAAGGACACTATTGAATGCAGTTAACATGGACCTATCAATAGCATGCGGTATTGTCACACCAACCACCCTGTTTCTTGCTTTTATGACGTTATGCTTATTTTACATGTAAGTAGGAAACTAGATTATTATTTTGTGGTAGCTATGTAGATGCCATGTTCTACCTAAACATAGACCAAGTATGTATTAACGCGGTGCCTTTGTCCGTGTGTGAACTGTGTGAAGAACAGTCTTCTGTGAGTAGTATTTATGTATACATTTCAAATGCAATTGTTCAATCGCATGCGACATGCGCATTGACTCTACGTAGTGTAAAGTCCAAATGGTTCACGGTTGGGTCATTGATAACGTGTCAATAGCATGTGGTCTTGTCACACCACCACACTGTATCATATTAGTATGCCATTATGCTCGTTTTACTTGTACATATGAAATTAGTTTCTTTGTCGTGGTGGCCGTGTATATATTATGTTCTCTCTATACACACAGTAACGTGATGACTATGGGACTGAGAGGATGACGATGACGATTATGACTGGGGCGACTGGCAATATGACTCAAAATGAAGTGCTGACGATTCAAACTTACCAGACCACTTTGTCTTAAGATCGATGTTAACACAGATCTCATGTTAACCCCGTGGTAACTCATGATCAAACAAAGAAATTACAGAGCCGGCGGCACGAAATTATGCATGGAGAGGGGAGGGGGGTCTGCTCACCAACCTTGCGCCACCACTGAATTGAATCGACGGATATAAACGCATATTATATAGGCTACATATTTGGTTACAGGTTGCCGATTATCAATGATTTCGTAATATAAAAGCTATTCTAAAAATAGTATGGTATGGCACAGTCACGATTGTTATCAAACATCGGGAATTTGTCGTTCCCTGACGACTGTGGTCGACTGATTATTGCCGTTGATGGCAAATTTGTGGTTCCCGATGATTGGGGAATACTAAAAAAAAACTTTATATTATCTGTATATTTAGCATTCCAGTGAGTCCGTCGCGCTTTTTTTCTGCCTTCGTACAAAATATTACAGGAGAGTAAACCAATTTAAAATACCGTTAGTAAGTCTGTCAGTCGGCTATTTTGAATCAAATGACTTGCATCAGAGGCACATCATGTTCGATATTCATACTACAATGCTTCTGATATTACCAGGTGTGACCTCACCAGCCTCAGATAGTATAGGCTTATGCTAGTCAGTACATACCAACGCTACCTATCTGAATCATATCCGGTATGTGTACATTATGTATATAAATCCATTTCTTTGAAACCAAGGAGACCGACCTGTCCAGGTGACACATCATTTTAATGTCATAATGGTTTGCATTTCTTCATGATATGAAACCGCACTACAAAGTACGTATCTTTTACTGAAAGATACATTCATCTGTAAAATTGGAATTATTTGTTATTATAGCAGTAAAATTGTGAGCAGGTAGGACAGGCATAAACCATCGTTACCTGTCAAGTTTCATTTATTTGGCCGTCGCCTCACCATTATACCTTCAAGTTGGCACAATTCCCACAATGCACCTGTAAAACAACGGTGCGTGATCCTCTGCGTTTCAGTGGTATACGAATACAAAGTCTCGAATACGTAGTCTCGTGCTGTGGCACGTTTCCATGTGAAATCAACCGCGGGTCACATGTTTTTGTCAGTTAAGCTATGGCGTGATATACGATGACACAATCTATTGGTTTAATTTGAAATTTATGAGGCTTGCTGTTATTGTATCGAATCCAACTGCGTTCAATCCAATCATTCATGTAACTGAGGTCAAATAAAGCTTTTCCCAACACGACCACGCACGGTTTCGTAAGGACGGTCATTGATGGTCGGTTCTAGCGAAACCGTGCAAATCGGACGATGGGCAAACACAATCTTATACATTTCTATATTCCCGTAGATATTCAACATGGACGTTTTCAACTTTAAAGAAAATGGGAATCCCCGGTCCGTCACCATGGCCACTATTTGGTAACATGCTGCAATACAGAGAGGTAGATTTTTGCACTACATTTACCCAAGGACCTACTATAAAATAATAGGTTCATAATTTACCGTAGCACTGTGCCTGTATCGAATTGCATAACAGAGGGCGCCACAATTAGCAACACACTGATTTATGACGACTATGTTTCCTGTAGGAAATCTCTTCATGCGATTACCACTATACCACATACAATTGGTATCAATTGCTATATATGAATTGAATACACATAATTTGATTTTTCCTTTCCTTTGAATTCTTGACCAATTCAAACATTACTAGATGCGTTTAATAATATATGGTGAAGCCGAGTGACTGGTGTGGTATTTTAAATGCAAAAGAGTCTTTCTATAATCCATCTCCGTTAAGTTTAATATGTAATTTGTGTATGTATGAATTTTGGTGTATTTTGAGATAGTCTGTCATGGTCCAATCAGATTACTTGGATACAGGTTTTTGCATACTAACCAATACATGCAACGAGTCAACGATTGGTTAACTCATTTCACTACAGGGGATTCAGTACAAGGATCTGGAATGGATAAAGAAATATGGCAAAGTATATGGGTATGTATGCCTCACGATAATCGTTAATATTTTTGCCAGTATTTGCTAAATGATTTGTATAAATATTCGCCAAACTCGTGTCAACTTCATTTGTTACACATTGGGCTACTTTGAGCTATTTTAATGTGTAAACGAGGAGAATATTCATTATGTCAACCCAAAGACTATAGAGAAGATAGTCTTTATAGTCTTTGGCCAACCCGACCTAAAGACACACTAGTTGTGAAAATAATTGCTTCAAACCTTTTTCACAACATATATTTTATTTAAAGTAGATTCACAATACAAAATGTGTTTTATCAGCTTTTAACGCAACAATTGAACGTATGCAATTCATTCTACGATAATACTCAATGACTGGCAATCGGACGTGAACTACAAATGTCAAACTGTGGTCGTCAGACTAAATCTTCCTTTCGTGAGTTATTTCTGACCCAAAGAATGACATACTAGTGATTACGGAAAAATTGTTGGTTAAACAGAATCACTGTAGAAGTTCAGTCATATCAACTCTGAACTGTCGAAGGATAACATATATTTTAAAAAATCAATATGCACAACAAATACAGATCGATTCTATTAGAAATGACCTGCGTAGCTTAGAACATGATGGTTATATGCCAGTATATGTATGTTTCCTATATTCCAACACAATATTAGAAATGGATATGTTATACATCTGAAATATAATCTTGAATGTTTTTTTTTCTCCAAATACATAGGGCCTACGAAGGGCGTACACCAGTAATAACCTTCGCCGACCCAGAGATATGTAAACAGATATGTGTCAAACACTTTGGGTCTTTCGTCAACAGACGGGTATGTTCAGATTACATAGCTATTTCAGGTGCCATAATCGCGTATCGTCAGACAACCTGTTTTGCTACTGATATTTAACTGTAAACACGAAACTAAGAATACATTGAAATGCTTATTTCATTATTTTTGCCTCGCATATCACAGGTACTCCCACTGAAAAGTAGACCTTTAGATTCAGGCCTTACTGTGCTACTCGATGACCACTGGAGAGGGGCGCGGAACACTCTGACCCCTTCATTCAGTGGCGCTAAAATGAAACTGGTAAGTTTAACATCGTGAATAATGACGCATTCACATTATGGAAACTAACTGGGTCATATTTTACTACGACATACGTCACAGTATGCCGACAATTTACAGTTTCGACATTGGTATTTGCATTCTCCAAAAAGTGATCGAGTACGTATATCACAGCATAGTATATAGCGAGACACGTCGACTTACGTTCACTAACTTGGTCAGTAATATCAATAAGCTTATGCGAGCAGAGGGTGGTTGCCTATTATTAACCTAATTTGTCGACATATTCTCGGGAGCGAACATGGTGGCATTTTCACTACGCAGCACACACAACCGGTGAAAACAACGACACTTTGGGCTAACTATTGAGACTCTCCTGAACAGCATGCCAAGACTATCCCTAATTAATTTGTTTGTTTCCCCAATGTTGAGTTTGTGCCGTTTTTTCGACTTTTGCTGTTTTTCCACAGCAGCTCGATGTACAACAGGGATGAGCAACTTAAACGCTCTGTGATATTGTCCCACCCCGAGAACGTCAAGGGACAAGTAACCTGCCAATGTATCCTTAGAGTACCTCGTATTTAAAGGCCAAACATAAGTGAACATTTAGCAAATTAAACACTGTCAGTTGATTAGTTCTATCGCATTCATTTATTATCCTATGGGCATAAATGAGCATGTAACCCCTTCACATCGCTAATTACAATTGCAAAATTGTTATTGTCATGTTCACTAGCTGCAATGCACAGCTTAGCACTTCTCAGCCATCATGCACATGCATGTACTTTAGACACGACATACATCTTTCGGAAAATCCCCACCCCGTCTACGTCTGCCAACTAGCTATATTTTACTTGTATTGCATTTCAAGTTAGTTGGAAAAACAATAGGTGTTGAATCACGGGTGGACCACGACAATAAGCATGAATCTAACAAAGGCATCATTGAATCCTCCAAAAAGTATTCATATATTCCGTTTAACAATTCACTGTGTTTGATTGCAATTTACAGATGTCCCCTCTTATAAATCGGTGTGCCACTGAGTTGGTGAATAACTTGAAAAATCACTGTGACTCGGAAAAACCAGTTGAAATCAAAGAGTAAGTATTTAATTTAATGAAAATAACCTCGAAAAAAATCACAGAATGTTGATGTCATTTGCGTACCTCTAGTCGTTTACCCATCAAATAAGCAGCCATTTTGAATCACGTATTCGGTTAAGGCAATCATATGACTGCATTACCAGTGTAAACAATTGATTTATTTTAGGAGTAGGAATACCGATTTTCAGTGCTGTCTTTTTCGGATTTTCACCTCAATAATTCTGGGAATTAAACATTGCATAAAACAAATATAAAATATCGTACAGGCATTTGATTTTTAAATTTCAACACTATGTTCTGTAGTGAAAGATTTAATAATGATGTTCTGTCGCTCATATTGCAGAATGTTTGGAAGTTTTGTAATTGACAGCATTGGTAGTGCTGGATTTGGACTCGATGTTAATTCGCAGTCGCAACCAGACCACCCGTTTGTGGTGAATATAAAGAAAGCCTTCAAGTTCAGTTTGTTTAGTCCTGTGGTATTAATTGTATGTAAGTATCACCAACGTAGTCTAACAAGCGAATATTTGTAAACTAATAGAATTCACTAGCTCGAAAAAACAAAACAACCGACAAACACACACACCATATTGCATGGGAAAATGTACGGGCCAAACAATTCAAGTGTTGTCGCATGTTTTGAAATAAAATAGTGCGCACATTTTTCTCCTCACGTGAAACCCATATGTACAGTAACTACTTATTCTGAATATAACCATACACCTCGTTATATTACTGCGTGGCAAGGAGGACTAGTTATAAGATTATAAGATAAAAACGATAATGTTCAATTATAATAATTCACCATAATTACCAAGTCTGACTTGATAACAACAGCAATATTAAATTAAACACTTACAATTTTCTGAAACGAACAATGTAGTAGACAACATAAATACAATTATTCACCGTTGTATATAATACATCTAATCATGCAGGAACCGGATTGTGGTGTTCTATGATGTGTACGTTAGAGAACGAGTTATCTCGATCCACATCATGATTACAATGTACAAATTTAGCGGATCGATGAATACATTAGTAATTATGTCGATACTTGTTTTGCAGTGTTCTTCCCATTTCTTGTTCCAATTTTGAACTATTTCGACGTCGCCTTTATTCCGCGAAAAATTCTGAATTTCTTCGTGCAAGTTACTGATGAAGCTATTCAGATGCGAAAATCAACCGCAGATTCGAACCAGGTAAGTGGACTGAATGTCAAAGGTGAGATGAGTGTCAAAAATGCAGTAAGATGTGAAGATGTACTCGATTTCTACATTACTCGTATGTAACATATTACAAAGTATTTTATATTTTGTATGTTGTATTTCTTTCAGAGAATAGATTTTCTACAATTGATGATGAATGCCCACGATGTATATGAAAAGTACATGAAGAACAAAGAATATGAAGAGGATAAGCATGAAGGGGAGAACAAAGTAGAATTTGTCAAAGACGATCCATCTTCATCAATGAAAATTCACAAAGGATTTACCCGCGATGAAATTGTGGGACAGGTGAGCGGGAACATGGGGGACAGATTTATTTTAGACTAACCCGAATAACATTTCCAGCGACTGTGAAAAAACGTTTTTAAATGTCGCACATGGGGTGGTGAAAAAGAGATTAATTACATTCAAACATTTATCATATGAAGACGCTTAACCAAAAAATAAATTGAATGAAAGGTGATTGAAATATTGACATTTCTAATTAAGTCACTAATTATGCCGTTTCAATTTATACGAATCAATTATTTTTTTCATTTTGTTATTAGTCATTATTGTTCTTCTTTGCTGGTTACGAAACTACAAGTACGCTATTGGCGTTTGTCTGTTATAATCTGGCAACAAACCCCGAAGTACAAGACACGTTACATAAAGAAATCGACAATGTCATGCTCAGCTACGAGGAGGTTGGTTATGATGCTGTTTCCGATATGACATATCTAGATATGGTTGTTTCCGAGACATTAAGAAAATATCCACCGGCAACAAGGTACGCTTTACCATAAATAACCCAATTTTTCATTGCCATTAATTCACGATACTTAGTGCGTTTTAGTTATTTCCCCCCTCGCATACACAGGTACGGCCTTTCAATGGCCATGTTAAATACATCATGTGCATGTAAGATTGTTGTTTGGTTGTGTTACTTCATCTCTTGCCCAAGATTGTTTATGTATGCATATATGCCCTTGTCTATATGGACTTCTGTATTGTCCGATAGACACAAAACTCTACATAACTTAAAATTAATAAATTAAATGTTGCACACATACAATTGACAGATTTGATCGTAAATGTAACAAAGATGTCAATATCAATGGAATAAAGATACCTAGTGGAATGACTGTAGTCGGTTCTATTTATGGAATTCACCACGATCCTGATATTTACCCAGATCCGGACAAGTTCATTCCCGAAAGGTAAGCATTGCAAATGTAACAATGCAAGCTGGTGACGTACTTAAAGTTAACACACGAGATTGTAGGTTGTATACTAGAGAACTAGAAATAACCTCGACGTTTTAATAAAACAAGTTCACTCAAAATTAACCAAGCCATCTTGGGTTTGTACCTGTTACTGTTAATTTACTGTTAGTGTGTTTGGCGCAATATTTTTCAGTCAAATACAATTATTCACAGGCATTAATGAAATATTATCTGAACATATTCATCATTAAGGTTCAGCAAGGAAGAAAAAGCTAAACGTCACCCATATGCATGGATACCTTTTGGTGCTGGTCCTCGTAACTGTATTGGAATGAGATTCGCATTGATGGAGGCAAAGATTGGGCTGGTTCGAGCATTGCAGAAGTTTACATTCGAACCATGTGCTGAAACTCAGGTAAATTATACATTACATCGTATAATAATACCTATAAATTATATACTGTGTTTTACATATAGAATCATGTTATTACCTTTCTGTTCAATGTTCTGTTCTTTATTTATAGATTCCTCCGGAACTGGGCAAGATGGGATTCCTGTCACCACCAAATGGCATTATACTTCGCATTAAATCTAGGCAATGAAATACTGATTGATGATTATTACATTTTTTTTACTTCAGTTTGTTTTGGATCATTTGGACGCTGACTGATCTGCATAAGAGGATGATTGAAAGCCAAATAACATTTTCGACTTTTTCTTGAAAACTTCGAATGGTTCGATACTTGGTGTATAATATTTGGGTGGTCCTCGATTATACGTGAATCTGAAAATTAAATGGTTTGAATGTAAATTTTAGTGGATATTTTTAATTTTTTGTTGACAAAAATATTTTCGATTCATTCATGAAAACCGCTACTTCGATTGCTTTGATATGTAGTGTATATGCAAATTGGGTGGATCAAAATATTTGACGATATCTTCAATTCTGTAATTGGTCAAAAATACTATTTGACTTCTCTTGATAATTATCTGTTTGATTGATTTCATACTTGGTATATAAAAATGCCTCTATAGAATTAGTACATTTCTATGGATATCAGGGGAACATATTGATGAGTTGATGAATGTATTACTCGGATAATATTAAACTATTCTAAACATTCCACTATGGTGTTTATGTAACTATGCATGCACATAATTGTGCAAGAAATCAATTTCCACCACCGTCAGATTGTTATGAAATTCCCTCACTGATTATCAATATATCTATGAATACTAATGAATTTATTTTCAAATGTGTGTTTGTGCCTTCATACATACAGCGACGTTCTGATTGTTGTTGGCATCAATCCGATGGAGCAGATTTATTTTGATTTTATTATATGTATATTTTGTCTTTAATAATACAAAAACAATACAATGGTTTATATATACGTATTTGAAAATTTGCATATTCATTCATTGTCACTGACGCCAATCTCGTTGAATTCATGTATATTTGTAATAATTGACGTGTAAAAGTTGTTGATACCTTTGATACCTTTGTCCGCCAATTTGTAATTTTTCAACTTCTTCCCTCTACCCTTGAAATATGATAAAATTGAGTTTCCAAAGAGTCAAAATGCAAAAAACACATGTACATACGCCATCTACAAATTTAAGGGCCTGATATTTGTTGTGTTTTCTGTGTAGAGTTCATCCCAGACCGCTATTCTCTCGCAATTAAAATCATTTGTCGTATTTAAGCCGAAATTTTATGTTAAAAAACTCATTCATTACAAATGTTGAGAATAAAAACCTGCGTTTAGGAAAACTCTCTAAATAAAGATTAAATAGCAAATAAATAAAATATGTGTCATCCTATACATTGGTTAAATCATGGAATGAACTTATACTTACATAAGGAATATATATCAGTATAAATGTATGCCTAATTTATTGATCAATATGACCATTCACCGATCTTTCCATACTTTTTGAATCCTGATAACGGCTTATATAGTGCTTACTAATTATCTTTATGTAATTGCCTAGCCTGATCCTGACTCTAAAGATACAGGTGTATAGTTAGGTAGTGGCATTTATTATGTATGTATATATAGATGCATCAGTCATGTATATTACTTATAACTATACGATTTACACAGTACTTACATTGGACACAAAATTAAAAAAAGCACACAGATGTGCATGTTATATAAAACAGAAATCTGCAATAGTAACGTTTCTTCATATAAATTGGGTCTATGATGATGATGATATGAAATCGTCATTAAATATTGAAATTGTGTTTTATTTACACAGTTAACCTTTCCATAGTTCAAAGTCACTATGATTTTTGTAAAATGCATGCTGATGTATAGTGTTATTATATCATAATATATTTTATTTAGAAAAAGCAATGAACTCTACTTTGTCCTAGGCACAACGCCAACAATGTTATAGTGAACATGAATGAATTTATGTAGGTGAACATTATTTTTTTCTAAACAAAATATATGTAGGGCATACTAAAACAAATCCGTTACAACAGTATTGGGGGGGCAATGTATTGTTTCGTATTGTAAAGTAAAATTATAGTGAAGCACACGTTTAGAAATTAGGGCCTCTTGCGTGAAAGTAAAATTATTCCAAGAGTGTGACATGTGTGTATTTATAGTAGCTATAGTGTAAATACTTTGTGAAATTGAAAACAGTGCAATTTTATGTTTGAATGTTCCAATACTTCGATGTGTGCTTAGTTTGAATGTTATGATTATTTAAAATAGATATGAAATAATTTACCTTGGCCTATATAAATAATTGACTTATTTTAAAATGGCGCATTTTCTCACTACGAAATTGTTCGTTCCCTATTTATTGACCGTCAAATATTGACACGGCATATACACTACCGTATTCACCTGTATTTGAGCTTTCAAGTGATCTGAAGGTTATTACACTATCATGCTTAGTACCTTTTAAAGAATGTCTGAATCACAGACGAATCATTAATTCGTTCTCACCTGTTGCTGACTAGAAATAAATAAATAAACGGTAACTATTCAAATAAATTTCCAGAAAGTAATTCAATTGATTGAGCATTGATACAGGCAGGGAAATCAGCAGTTTGGAAAATTGCAAAAGTTTATGTAACGAAAAATGCCACCATAGCATGGAGCAACGCATAGAAAGCCATACAGTTATTACGGCATTTTTGGTGTTTTCTTCAGTTACCTCACGTTGTTATTATAGTTTACTTATATTGTAGTTACCTAAATGTTGATTTTAATACAAATGGCCAAGAAACGGAACACATAACGAGTCGCGTTCATGACGTCTGCAAAGTATCGGTCTAACACCGAGATGCTGAGTTACGAACATCGAATTACATAAATGACCACGCAAATATTTTAGAAAACCACGCCCACGTCGTTGAACCATGCTCAAATTTAACTCGCTGTTCAATAACAGTTAAATTCGAGTTACGGGCAACATTTTTTTGTTTTGTTGGACAATACGCTGTCTTCTAGTTTAGTTTTGTTCAAGTATAACTTCCAAAACAATACGGTTTTCTATTTTTATAGCCAGTCTTTCAAACGTTTCTTGGTTACATGGTAACTTCGTAAAAGTACACCCTTTTTTTTGGGTGACCAAATCTATCCAATTTTGAATTAGGGTCACTTGATAGTATTGTCATCATATGCCGTATTCATAGTAATACATAGACGGATATATGTTCGCCTGGGGGCACTAGTAGAAACCTACCGCGAGGTATGCGAGGCAGCCAGCGGGTCTATAACTCATGTTTAAAAATGGGCAAGGGATTCCTTTTTGACATTTTTAAGAATCAAAGGTATCGTTTTTTTGCTGTGTGTGATATTATGCATGACTCGTTGCAGTGAGAGGTAAATTTGATGATGATTTTAAACTAGTGTATATGTAATAAGAGTTTTTCTTGTAAAATTGATTCAAGGGACGTTTTTTTTTCATTGAAAACTTGTTTTAAAAGGTAGATTTTCACTAAAAACTTGGTCTTCGCATATCCGTATATAAATAATACAAGTGATCGCTCCGGGACATGACCATCAATTTTTGTCGATTGCTCGAACCATTGTTAACGAGTACCATGCCCTTCTCCGCATTATATGGACGCCAAACAACAATAAATCAATGTACACATCATTTCAAAATAATGGTAGTCCAATAGACAGAACATATAGGGAAAATATTTGTGAGTACATGCATGTTTGATTTAGAGCAGAATAGAACAGAAACAGAAAAACTGACGCGCTCGATGACGAGCGACACAGTTACAGTTTCTCTATTTACTTAATACGTGTCAAATCGGTGGAGAAATTAAATATGAAGAAAATGGCGCAGTATACTTTTTGTGTTTATTTGAGATAGCGGGAGTGGAAAGGGGACTTATAGTTTTATTGTGATTAGGACTCCCACCGTTATTAAGCATGCAGCTATGACAATGTATATGTTATCAGAAAGCTGAGATACAGGAGAATAAGTGTATTTTTCGTGTTAATATTTTCTTAGGGGGTGAAGTTACGGAAATTCCCGTGAACCTTCTAAAAATAGGGTTTTACGCGGGATTGACATCATCATCACAATAAACAATTATGTGCTCCCATGGTCATTGTGTATCAGGTAGAACTAAAATCTCAACCTTGAGTGTCTCACACCTATAACTTTTTCCTGAATTTATTCAATTTCGTATTCAGTACCACCTTTATTTTGTTGATGTGACATGTGTTTAGGAATTATCATTTCACACCCATGGGGTGTTTTCTGTAGTGGAACAGAGTAATATTTGACGAATGAATGTTTATGTCTTTACATCAGACAAACCTACCTTCACGTATCTTTGCTGAAACGACGCTTAGCTTGACTGATACGTTTACGTGTCTATTCCAAACTTGAAATCAGTTTGGGGTCATTTCATGCTGACACAGAAATAAAACACTGTCTAAAAGTAGGTTGACGTTTGAACTCCACGACCTTTGGCCCTTGAAAGATGCATAAAAGAAGGCAATAACGAAGTTGAAAACCAACAAAACCTATCAGAGAGGGATAAGACTAAGATCGGAATTAACCATTGAGACAATTTGTGCAGCTATTAATCAATGTTTTTACGCAACTACATTCCAAATGAACATAAACACAATTTAGGCAGATCCACCACTAATCCCAGTCAGAGTTGGCCCATACCTAGTGACGTGGTAGATCAATCTACTGTATGTTAAATGTAGGATCGAACCTATAGTAATTTATCTTAGCCATCTTAAGCTATATGGGTATTAGTCCCCATGGTTGGAGCATGAAGAAGCCATGAGAAAAACTCTAAGAAAGACACTAAGCTGGTACCCCCACGAAATAAAATATTAATCCTAACAACATCACAGAAGGCAGATAACCATTAGGTTATATGCCCACACAAGTTAAAAAAGATGATGCATAGTAATTGGGCCCAGTATGTTGACAGCATATATCATGGATTAGTAGGAGGTGGGACCATCGAAAAAAACAACACATTCTCTCTCAAGCTACAATGATAAAACATCACCAACCTGATTAGAAATGCAGAACACCATACCGACTAGAACTCGAGGAATGATTTAAACAGCGCCAGCATTGACAGGGTGAGAAA